GAGACTATCTGCAGGGGTAGCACTGATTCACTGGAAGGCATATTGATGAGTTGGCAAGATATTGGTGTTGCGCTGATGAGCGCTGGACTCAGGGAAACTTTGAAACACTTTGTATTCATATTTTTTGATAATATAAGCTGTGAAACTCGGTTCTCATCTTCTCTACCTTTGTCTATTATCAGACTACTGTTCGTTGTGTGTGGGAGAACGATGCATGGCATGTACACACTTGCGTGAGATGGTCTCCAGGACCCATGCAATATCGTCAAACAGAGCTGCCCTGTAAACCGTGGGCAGAGAGGGAGAAGAGGACAACAAACGAGAGGCTGTGACAAACTGTTTCGTCAGAGTGTCACCGGCTCATCAGGAGGCTGAACCCTATTTATATATACCGTCAAACAGAGCTGCCTGTAAACCGTAGGCAGAGAGGGATAAGAGGACAACAAACGAGGGGCTGTGACAAAAATAGAACTGCCTGGCAAACCGTAGGGGCAGATAGGAGAAGAGGACAACAAACAGGGGCTGTGACAAACTGTTTTGTTGGAGTATATAGTATATATATATTGATACATATATTTTCATTACATATATTTTCATTACATATATTTTCATTACATATGGCAAACCGAAAAAAAAAAAACGCAATGCACAGAAGAAAGGTTCGCACTGTGCACAGCATCAGGAACTGCACTAGATATAGCACACCGAAGTCCCTGAGTGAGGAATCTGAGAACTAGCCCCCCAAAATGGGGCACCAAAAACTTGGCCCATAAGTATTTCACCTGCAATAACCAAGGTGGAGCCTGGGCCTGGCCACTCAATTTACCATGAGCAGAGCCAGAGTGTGACCCCAAAATAAAGGCAGAGCCCAAACCTGGCCACTCGATCTACCAAGGCAGAGTCCAATCTACCAACGCAGACCCACCTCCACTAAAAGAAGAGCCCAACTTGGCCACATTATCTTACTGAGGCTGAGCCCTACCCTGGCCACTCAATCTACCAAGGCAGAGTCCGATCTACCAAAGCCGAGCCCAATCCTGGCCACTCAATTTACCACGAGCAGAGTCAGAGCCTGGCCCCCACTAAAGGCAGAGCCCACCTGGCCACCTAATCTTGCTGAGGCAGAGCCCAACCCCGGCCACTCGATTCACCAGGGCAAAGACTGATTTCACTAAATCTACCAAGGCAGATCCCGATCCTGGCCACTCCATAATTTCCGAGGCAGAGCGCAATCCTGACCACTGAATCTACCAAGACAGAGTCCGACCAACCAAGCCAGAGCCCGATCCTGGCCACTCAGTCCGCCAAGGCACACAGCCGGACTCTTGCCACTCGATCTACCACACCCAGAGCGCAATCCTGGCCACTCGATCAATCAAGCCTTATCCTGAACCTCGCCACCCTTATCTATCAGGCCAGAGAGCTAGGAGGCGCATCATCATCATGTTTGTTGCACAAGTCCCCAGGCTTCCCAAAAGTCGACTTTTCTCAACCTGGCTGCCACATGGCGCCGCCACATGGAGCTGCCGCGTGGAGCCACCACGTGGAGCTGCCACGTGGCTTTATCCACTCGCTACGTCGATGCATCACCAGGAGGGGTAGGCAGATGATTGAGCCCCAGACAACGACCTGGATTGTGGGTAGCCGGCCGGCGGCGGCACAGGTGGTGCAGACGGAGTTGGACGAGATGGCTGTGGCGGATACGAATGGAGCTGCTGCTGCTGCTGCTGAGTAGGATATCCAACATGGAAGACATGGTGGCAAGCTCCACAAATGACAGACTTCGCTTCCGCAGGAAGCTGGAGTGTACTATTACACTTTATGCAGGTTAATAAGATAACTTGGCCCGCAGGAGAAGGTTGGGCGTAGGGAGCTGGAGCGTGAGAAGCATAGCCCTGCCCACCACCGTACTGTCCATACGGTGGTGGTGGAGGTGCAGACTGCGCTGCAGCGGCGTGCTGTTGGCCAGCCCCGCCCATGAAAGGCTGCACCAGATTCCCAATCTTCCCTGCCTTTTCTGCGAGCTTGCCCAGTTTTGCCAGCTTGTCCATCCTGGATAAGGTTGCGGGTAAGTTTGCAAACCTTTTTTTTTTCCCTTGTAAAGAATGAATACTCGAGCTCAGCCACAAGATCAGTTGGTTCTTCCCCCCCTCGACGACGCAAAGGGCAATCTGAAATCCTCCAAATCTTCTGTGTGTCTTTCCTGATTTATAAGGTCGTCGGTCACTTCCAAGCTGCAAACAGATCAGATCCTGGAATAACAGCGCAGCTCAGCTTCATATTCCGAGCTGTGCAAATCTCTTCTCAGTGTTGCCTGTGGCAGTTGATGAAATCCAGCAAAGGCAGATATCCTGCAGAGACAGAACCTACACCCCCAGCTCACAGGTCAGGTCACGTCACGTCAGCTCAATGTTGCCTATGTCACGAAAGATGGTTAATGGAAGGCCCAAAATTCGGGGGGGGTTGCCGCATCACCACAAACAATGTCCTCAAACATTTCGCGAGCAAACAATGCAGGATCAT